GCACCACCCCATCCCTGCTCCTCAGCCTCCACTGATCAGGGTTGGTAAGGTTTACTTTGGCTGGCATTACATATATATATGTGTACATATATATAAAAACCATGTATATCTATTTAGAAAAATACATACATATAACACTATATAAAATATATACATAACATACATATAAAAAACCCATATAACCACAGTAGCTTGGCCCATATTAGACTATCAAAACCCTCTTATTTTGCATTAGGCTTAAACCCTAGCCTGATGCTCCTTAAATGGACTTTAACAGTCATTCAACTATACTGCACAGCCTTGGTAAAAAATAATTTAGTTCTTCCACTGTTTAGGAAGGGAAAAAAAGAGGAAGGAGTAAGAAAAAACAAACATATTTTCTAAAATTGAATGCAATTTGAAGTGAATGGGTAGTTTTTGGCAGGAAAATAATAAAAGCTTTTTTACAGTTTGTTTTGCAATTCAATAAAAAAAGTCCCTTGCAAAGAAGATGAAACAACATCATTTCAGTATTCATATATACATTAAGGTATGAAACTAGATACCTGCTTTGCTGTTTAAGCTGAAACAGAACTACATAAATCACTCGACAGGGAAAAAAGCCAACAAGACTCAAAACAAATCTGACTAGAGCAGTAAAATCTATCCCATGTTTATAAATGTGTAGGAGAGTACAAATTATTTTATCCTGGAAAGAGACTGATTCCAAAATTACTTTTCCTTTTTGTATTAACACCACCCTCTAGTGGCAGTTTTTCTGCTTTACTGAAGCAAAAATGCCGTTTAACATATTGATCTTATGCATTAAGAAACGGTACAAAAATTGCAAACAGCAATTTGCTTACCTGTGCTGAATTTAACGCCCACACTCCGCATTCTCCGAGTCTCTGCAGCTTTGGAAAAAGCCATATCTGGCTTGTTTCAAGCATAACTTATAAAAATAAGTGCCTAACAAAATGCCACCATGAAAAGCATAAAATAATAAAGTCCCTATAATGCACAGTTGCAGAATAACCTTCCAGATGGATAAGTTCCTTGGTGCTTGGTGAGTAAATTACACTCTGAAGCATGAGCCGTATGCTTTTAATATATTACTGTCTTATTAGCCCCCTGAAGATGTTTCGGTTGACAGCTTTAAAGCTAGATATGGCAAGAACTTGTGGCAGTTCAGTCTCTGGACTTGCACCTCCTTCTTGGTTGTGCTACAGGCTCATCAGTAAGGTGGTGGCAGTTTGGCTTTTTTACTGTTCTCTTACAGTTACAGTCAGAAACTTCTAGAATGAGCCATTCCTAATCTAGCAGCCATCATTTTAACAAAGCATCCCTAAATGGAGATGGGACTGAGGCACCTGAGGCATATTTAGATATTGAAACCCTTCTGTGTTCAGGGATGAGTGGATCTGGGGTATCATTTTAGTCTACCAGGATATTAAAAATAAAAAAAGAAAGAGATAGTGCCACAAATCCCACTGGGCTGGTCCAAGATTTAGGCCCTTCTATTTTTTTACCTAATAGAGAGCAAGTAACACACAACTTCAAAAATTTGCCTCCTGTTTTTCTCGCTGCGAGGTGCAGTCAGCAGGTCAGCCAGCTCGAGGCAACTGCTGGGTTAGGAAAACTCAGCATATGAAATTTTGGAGGTCTCCAGGCAAAGCCAGCCTGCACGCAGAGTATAACTTCAGTGTGGAAAGGGCTGTTTAATTACATCTAAGTGTATTGAATTTGCAGGCCAAGTGGCCTAGATAAATTGCTTAGGAAGTTGGGATGGAGACTTGATTCACCGCACTAATTTCCCACTTCTGTAACAATAAATGAGGAACAGGCTTTCCCAAAAACCTATTAGCTATTGACAGTTGGAAGGAAACTGTTCTTGCTCTCTCTCTGAACAGGGATGCATGAAGAAAAGGGGAAGATAACTTTTGCTCAGCTATACACATCTTGCCTTCAGCAGGGCTCCAGGCACTTTGCTCGGAAGTGAGCTCTGCAAAAAGTCTTCCACACCTAGAATGGGACTTCATCAGCCAACTTTTTAAAATAGTTCAGATTTGCAGCATCAGATTAAAAGCAGAAGGTTAAACCTGTTAGTGCTCCCAACACCTCACCCCATACCTCTGACAAGCGCTGGCATCTCTCAGGGTGGGGACGTGGGCTGGCTGCACTGCTGTGGGCACAAGCAGCCTCAGCTCTCCGACTGCAAGCCTAATGTAGAGCCCTCAGATGAAAAGCATGGGCTCATAACCCAAGTTTTCACTCTTTAAGTCTTGTGTGTTCCTAGAGTTTTACCTCCAGGTGATACGGAGTCTCACGCAGTCCCAGGCAGTCCTTGGAGAAGCATCGCTCCCAGTCCCCACAGAACCAGACCCAGCAAGTGCACTGGGAGCACATGTAACCCCAGGCTGCAGCAACCATCCCTGA